CGCGTCTCTGACCCCAAATTCTTGGTGATTTTGGGCAATAATTCGGGTTTCTGTTTCTTCACCACGTCCATCACGGCCCCGTAGACGTCGCACAGTTTGGCCCCTGTTTGGGGTGGGGGGACAAAGGGGGGATTTGGGGTCACCCCAAAGGGTCCCAGGGGGGGTTTTGGGGTCCCAGGGGGGTCTCTGCGCAATTTTGGGAGTCTCAGGGGGGTTTTGGGGGGGTTTGGGGGGTTTTTTTGGGGGGGTTCCAGAGATTTTTTGGGGGGGGTTAAGGGGTTTTTTGGAGTTTCAGGGAGTTTTTGGGGTGGTTTTGGGGGATCCCAGAGGGATTTTGAGGGTGGTTTTGGGGGTCCCAGGGAAGTTTTGGGGTGGTTTGGGGAGTTTTTGGGTGTCCCAGGGCTGGTTTTGGGGTGTTTTTGGGGCTGATTTTGGGGTGTTTTGAGGTTGGTTTTGGGGCTGGTTTTGGGGTGGTTTTGAGGTGGTTTTGGGGCTGGTTTTGGGGTAGTTCTGAGGGATTTTTTGGGGCTGGTTTTGGGGTAATTTTGGGATGATTTTTGATCGATTTTGGGGCTGGTTTTGGGGTAATTTTGGGGTTGATTTTGGGGTGTTTTTGGGGTTGTTTTTGGGGCGGTTTTGGGGTTGTTTTTGGGGTGATTTTGGGATGATTTTTGATCGATTTTGGGGTTGGTTTTGGGGTAATTCTGGGGCTGGTTTTGGGGTGATTTTGGGGTATTTTTGGGTGTTTCTAGAGGATTTTTGGGGTGGTTTGGGCTGGTTTTGGGGTATTTTGGGGTGGTTTTGGGGTATTTTGGGGGTGTTTTTGGGGGTTTTTGGGGTCCCCGAAGCCGTTTTTGGGGTGATTTTGGCCGTTTTTGGGGTCTGACCGTGTCTCATCTCGCGGATGAGCAGCTCCTGCAGCTGCAGCAGGAACGAGTAGTGGTCCTGCATCTCCTGGGGGGGATCCACCATGAGGGTCCGGACCAGGTTGGAGCAGTAGGACTTGTAGCGGATGCCCATGGAGCAGGTGATGGCCCCGAAGTGCATGTGGGACTTGTCGCTGAGGAAACGGGGACAAAACGCGGGATTTTGGTTAAAAACGGGGAAAAACGGGAAAAAACGAGGAAAAAAATGGGAGTTTGGGGGCGAAACTGGGGGGAAAAGGGGATAAAAGGGTCCCCCTGGAGCAGGGGATGGCCCCAAAGGGCTCATGGGACTCATCACTGAGAAAATGAGGAGAAAACGGGGGGTTTTGGTTAAAAATGGGAAAAAGGGGGGAAAACGGAAAAAAAGCGGGATATGAGAGGGAGTTGGGGGGAAAAAGGGGATAAAAAGGGATAAAAAGGGATAAAAAGGGATAAAAGGGTCCCCCAGGAGCAGGGGATGGCCCCGAAGTGCACGTGAGACTTGTCACTGTGGAAATGGGGAGACAATGTGGGATTTTGGTTAAAAACGGGGAAAAAGAGAGAAAAAATGGGGTTTTGGGGGTGAAAAATGGGAGAGAAGGGGACAAAAGGGATTTAGTGCCACTAGGGTCGTTTTTGGGGCGAAAAATGCCAATTTCAATGACACATAACCCATTTTTGGGGTGGAAAGCAGCGATTTTGGCAACATGACAGGGAGCCCATTTTTGGGTGTAAAAGCGGGGATTTTGGGTGTGTCCCTCACCTGACAATACTGAACTTGAGGCTGCAGCTGCCCCATCATCTGGATGATGGGGGGGTAACACATCCCAGTGACACAGAACCCATTTTTGGGGTGAAAAGCGCCATTTTTGGCGATATGACACGGAGCCCATTTTTGGGTGCAAAAGTGCAGATTTTGGGTGTGTCCCTCACCTGACAACGCTGAACTTGAGGCTGCAGCTGCCCCTGCTCTGGATGATGGGGGGGGCAGCACATCCCAGTGACACAGAACCCATTTTTGGGGCGGAAAGCGGCGATTTTGACGGAGCCGATTTTTGGGTGTAAAAGCGTGGATTTTGGGGCTCTCTCCCTCACCTGACAACGCTGAACTTGAGGCTGTAGTTGCCCCCGCTCTGGATGATGGGGGGGTAGCACATCTCCACGGCCGACGGGTCGGCCCCGCCCAGGAACTTCTTCTCCTCGATGGCCTTTTCCACGGCCTCGGCCAGTTTGCTGTGACGGACCTTCTGCAATTTTGGGGGGGGAAAAAGGGGTGATGTCATCGTGACGTCATCATGGCGTCATCATGGCATCATCATGACGTCATCACGGCATCTTAGGGACGTCACCCAGGCAAAAAAAAACCCCCGGTTCGGGGACAAAAACGCTCATTTCAGGCTCAAAACGCTCATTTTTGGGGTTGGTTTGTCACCAAAATCCCCCCCAAATTTTTACTGACGCCCCCCAAGTTTTTACTCACAGTCTCCTGGTTTTTTACCAAAGTCCCACTAAAGTTTTAAAAAAAACCACCCTGGTTTTTTACCAAAGTCCCACTAAAGTTTTAAAAAAAAAACCCTGATTTTTTACCAAAGTCCCACTAAAGTTTTAGCAAAAACCACCCCAATTTTTTACCAAAACACGTCCAATTTCGTATCAAAACCCCCCCAAGTTTTACCCACCCCCCCCCCCGGATTTTTTACCAACTCTCTCCTGAATTTTTACCAAACCCACCAATTTTTTACCCAAAGGCCCCTGGATTTTTACTAAAATCTGTCCGATTTTTTCACCGAAATGCTCCTAATTTTTTACCAAAACCACCCTGATTTTTTACCAAATCCCACAATTTTTTTACCAATCCCTCAGAATTTTTACCAAAATCTGATTTTTTTTACCAGAACACGTCTCATTTTTGACCAAAACCTCCCCAAATTTTCACCAAAACCTCCCTGATTTTTTACCAAAACACATCCACTTTTTTTTCCAAACCCTCCCTGAATTTTTACCAAATCTCCTCCTTTTTTTACCAAAACCCCCCTGATTTTTTACCAACCTCCCCACCAAGTTTTTACCAAAACCACCCCGTGTTTTACCAACCCCCCCCAAAATTTTTACCAACCCCCTCGATTTTTTACCAAAAGCCTCCTGATTTTTTACCAAAACCTCCCTAATTTTTCTACCAAAACCCCTCTGATTTTTTAACAACTCCCTCCTGAGTTTTACCAAACCCCCCC